AAGAAGCAGTCAGAAGAGGTGAAACTGATCCTTCTTTACTTGGCAAACGTGTTGTTCTACCTGCTTCATTTACAGGTGGTATGAGATACATGTTTAATAACTGTCAAGATGCTATGGCTATTTGCAAAAGATTTGGATACCCAGATTTATTTATAACGATCACATGCAATGTAAAATGGAGTGAAATACATGATTTTGTTCATGCAAGAGGTTTAACTGCTGCAGATATTATGGTTGGATAGTGAAAATAAATTGCATAATGGAAGGGACATTGATAAGGTAATCTCTGCTGAATTACCTCATTCAGATTTGTATCCAAAACTTTCTAGCATGGTTGCAAGTTACATGATCCATGGTCCATGTGGAGCTGCAAAATTCAATTCACCTTGCATGAAAGAAGGTAGATGTTCAAAATATTATCCCAAGAAATTTACATCTTCAACTACTATAGATGAAGACGGATATCCGTCTTATAAACGTCAAGATAATGGCATATTTGTTATAAAGAATGGACTTAAACTAGATAATTGTAGTGTTGTTCCTTATAGTCCACTTCTTTTGATGAGGTATCAAGCTCATGTTAATACCTGAATATTGCAACAAGTCAAATTCAATCAAGTATTTATTTAAATATGTCAACAAAGGACCGAGATAGAGCAACCATTAACATTAGTAGTAGTTCTGCAGATTCTACTAATTCAGAAGTTGTTGATGAAATTAAAAGATACTATGATTGTAGATACTTATCACCATCTCGAGGCGAGTTTGGAGAATTTTTGGTTTTGATATTCATCATAGATGGCCATCTGTGCAAAGATTGACATTTCATCTCATAAGTCAACAATCAATTTTTTTAAAGATGATGACCATATTCATTCCATCTTGAATTCTAATGAAGATGTTCACACAATGTTTCACTGCTTGGTTTGAGGCTAATAAAAGGTTTGTTGAGGGAAATAACCTAACATATGCTGAATTTCCAAGTAAGTTTGTATGGATGCCTCAGCGAGAGAATGGAAACCAAGAAAGCAAGGATATAATATTGGACGACCGACGTATGTTCCTCCAGGTTCTAGTGAGTTATATTATATGAGGATATTGTTAACAATACAAAAAGGATGCATTGATTATGATAGCATAAAGGCGAGTCAATGGGATAACTTACCAAACTTATCAAGATGCTTGCCACGCTTTGGGACTATTGGCAAATGATAGAGAATTCATTGATGCAATCAATGAAGCAAGTAAACTTGCTTCACGCAATCAATTGAGAAAGTTGTTTGTTACATTATTAGTGATGAACACAATGTCTAAACTAGATGTTGTTTGGAATTCTACATGGAAATTGTTGGCAGATGATATTTTATATCAAAAAAGAAAGGAGTTAAATCTACCAGGTATACAAAATTTTTTATTTGTAAGTTTTAATCACTTATTTGATTGTTTATCATGTTATGTTATCTTCCAATGCAGGTTTTCAAATTGAAGAATCTGAATTGCATAATCTTTGTCTATTACGAGTAGATGAATTGCTTATGTCAAATGGTAGGTCCACTAAAAGATTATAGTTGTTTACCTCAACCTTGATTTTTCAGATTCATTCATATATGACAATAAATTTATTGTTGATGAACTTAATTATGATAAGGAAGAAATGAATAAAGTACATTCAACATTGTTCCAGTCATTGACTCATGAACAACTATGTGTTTATGAAGAGATCATGAGAGCTGTATTTTCAGAAAAGGGGGGGTTTTTCTTTTTGTATGGATATGGTGGTACTGGTAAGACATTCCTTTGGAAAACTTTGTCAGCTGCCATTAGGTCTAAGGGAATGATTGTTCTTAATGTGGCTTCAAGTCGAATTGCTTCTTTGTTACTTCCTGGAGGTAAGACGGCTCATTCAACATTTTGCATACCATTATTAATTAATGAGGAATCAACTTGCAATATACCTCAAGGAAGTGTTCGAGCTAAACTTTTGATGGAAACAAAACTAATTATATGGGATGAGGCTCCAATGATGAATAGATTATGTTTTGAAGCATTTGATCGAACCTTGAGGGATATTATGAAAGCAACAAATGTAGAGAATCATGATAAACCATTTGGTGGTAAAGTTATTGTGTTAGGAGGTGATTTTAGGCAAATTTTGCCTGTTGTTAGAAAAGGATCAAGACATGATGTGGTGAAGTCATCTATAAATTATTCGAAATATGGACAAATTGCAAAGTTCTAAAGCTTACGAGAGAATATGAGGTTAAATACCGCAAAAACAAATGATAGTGCAAAAGATATAAAAGAATTTGCTCGATTGGATATTAAAGATTGGAGATGGAGATGTGCCTTTGAATGAAAATGGTGAAGGACATATTCACATACCCAAAGATCTTTTAATTGAAGGCAATGAAACACCTTTACTTTCATTAGTTAATTTTGTCTATCCTCATTTTGTGCATAACATGATGTATGCTTGGTAATTTTGATGATGGAGCGATACTTTGTCCTACTATTGATGCAGTTGAGGAAGTTAATAATTTTATTTTATCTTTGATTCCTGGTGAAGAAAAAATATACTTGAGTTCGATACACCATGTCAATCAGATGAGGATCAGGAAATGCAAGGTGAATGGTTTACATCTGAATTTCTTAATGACATTAAATGTTCGAGTATTCCAACTCATCGACTTAGATTAAAAGTTGGTGTTCCCGTAATGTTGTTGAGAAACATTGATCAAGCAAATGGTTTATGTAACTGAACAAGATTGCAAGTGAATGATTTGGGAAAAAATGTCATATCGACTCATCGTAATTCGTTGGAAAAAATATTGGAGACAAAATCTTTATACCAAGAATGAATTTGATTCCTTCGATCCTGGATTTCCTTTCAAGTTTCAAAGGAGACAATTTCCATTATCATTGTGTTTTGCAATGACAATCAATAAGAGTCAAGGCCAATCACTCTCTAAAGTTGGACTTTATCTTCAAGCGTCCGATATTCACCCATGGTCAGTTCTATGTGGCAATTTCTAGAGTCAAAACAAAGAAAGGACTTGAAAATGCTTATATTGGATGAAGAAGGAAATGTAACATCATGTACTAAAAATGTAGTATACAAAGAAATCTTTGAAAACCTTTAAACATGTGCGAGTACACTATTATACGAAAAACTACATGTTTACTTCATTTATTTGTTATAATTTTTAATTATTTACTCTATGAAAATGTAGATTTATGATGTTTATTATTGCTTCAAAATTATGCTTATTTAATGATCATAAAATTGTACAATTGGTAAGTTTTATTCACAATCATATAACTATTTTACAAATTATATATTTTGTCATTATTTATTCTTTTTCTTTCTTTATTGTTTAATTGTGTAATATGTATTATGAAAAATAAAATTACAATATTTTTTACTAGATTTATCTTTTTTATGCAATATATCAAATTTATAAATTATTATACTAATTTATTTTGATTTGTTATTATTGCATATTATTCAAATGTTACATTATATTATAATCATTATGTTATTATAGAAGGTATTTTTTAAATTTTGTATGATATAATTTTATCGATTATATTTTGTATTTATTGTAAGTTTTTTTTTATTTTATACAATTTTTTTAACATAATTTTTTCATTTAACATTTTTCAAAAATCCCGTGCGTTGCACGGGTTATGGTACTAGTATTAATACAAATCACAAAAACTGAAAAAAGCATTATAATCCAAATTCAAAAATCACATCACACTTTTCAATATAATATCGTTCTAAATAAATTTAAATCTGCATAACTTTTTTAAGATAAAATTTTGTAGACAACCTTGTCATTTTTTTTTCTTTACTTAAGGTATTGACATTTTTTGAAAGTTAAAAAAAAAAACTCTAAAATACCAAAATCTACCTAAAGGTTGACTTATATCCATGGATATTTTGGATGTACATACTTTTAAGATCAAATCTTTAATAACACATTTAAATTATTTGTAAATAATATTATCAAACTATAAAAGCTTATATAACTTACATATTAAATTTATTGTAATTGTGTAATCACTACAATGATTTCACCTTTCGTTTAATTAATTTTATTTTAATGTACTTACCTTCCATTTAACGTGTTTATTGAAAGTGTGAGATTGTTTAAGTAACTATAAAAAAAAACGTATATTTATTAGTAATTTTAATTCTGTAGAAATAATGAACTGTATATAAATTAGAAAAAAAATAAAAAGCGAATTATTATTTCAAATATATACTATGATTTCGTTAAAAAAAAATTAGTCATAAATATACGTTATCTGTAAAATTTCATATTGTATTAATTGTTTTTCATTGATTGTATTTATATTTTTAAAAATATATTTATCATAGAAAAAATATTAATAAAAAATATATATTTATAGTTATTTGAGGTGGGAATATAATTTTGCTACTTTCAATCATCAAATTGTTTTTTTTTTCAGATCCGGGCACATTAATCAAGAACACTAATTTCAAGGACTCCTTTATGCTACGTTTTCCGTGTACGAAACCACGTGAAGGCGCGCCTGGCGTTTGCCTAAATTTATTGAAAAAGACATTAATTATATTAATTATGAGAAGCATTTAAAAAATTATAAATTGTAAAAGTGATTATATAAAAAAAGGAGAAGGAAGGCAAACAGGCATGAAGTGTGTGACGTTTTGTTTGCCTTTTTCTCTGAATGGACAACTCAGTGGCCAATACGGGAAAGAGATTGAACGAACCCATCACCCACCGTCACAAAGCTAAACGATCATCATTCATATCTTCATGAAAACAACATCATCCTTATCGATTCACATACATTCATACACACCTACTGTAACAAATCACAAACCACAAGTTCTACACTACACGCTTATAAGGAAATGTAAAACTAAAAAAAAGGCAGATAAAGAGAAGATAAGAAACTAGATTTTGATTGAGATTGAGATTGAGATTTGGATCCGTTGAGATGAGATTAGGTTAGCCGGTGTAGATGTGAACGCCAATGGCAATAAGAAAGATGGTGATGAGGCCGAAGTAGATGATGGCGTGAACCAAAATGGAGGCTCCACTCGTTTGCATGTTCCCAAACTCCGCAATTCTTCCCCTCGCTGGTATCTGGAAGAGAAGGCCCGGGCTTAAGAGCACGAACAGCACCACTGCGATCACCACCGGGCCCCAATCAGCCATTTTCACCCCTTGATTCTACTCGGAGGTTGGAAGGAAGAAGCGTTTGGGAGTGGATGAGACGTTTGCGTTTGATTTGAAGTTTTAGGGGTGGGGTGGGGGACACAAGTAGACAAAGTTACAGCACACACCCAACCAAACGGATCCTTCGCGTTCTTCTCATACTGCTCCAGTAAACGCGTCACTCATAATCTTAAATGTGATTTCAACGGCTCTGATGCCTCTGCTCTCCCCACTCCCAATCCCCATTCGCTATTAACTCTTTTTTTTTAATAATTCCCAATTTCCGTTTTGTCCTTTTCATTTTCTTCATATAAAATCTAGAAAAATCACGTGAAAGAACTTATGTATAAGATAATTTTAGTTTATAGGAGAGTTAATTTATTTTTCTCAGGTGGGTTAAGATAAACAAATTATGGGCCCTACTGAAGAACATGGGCTTGGGTTTACTTCCTCCAAAAGTAATATTTTGCACCCTGCAAAAAATTATACTCACATCATTAACATGTTTTTGTTATTAGTTAAAATCTATTGGTAATTATACATTATGATTAATAAATAATAATAAAAATAATAATAATAATAATAATGAAAAACACACATTTTTTAATTTCTCAATAAATTATAGATAACAGTAAAAAAAATATGTTTTTAAGTGTTGTATTGTGGTGACGAAGAAGTCATTTCAACGTCATTTTGTTACGTAATAAAAAAAATGTTTATTGGTTATAATTAAAGGTAATGTTTACAACAAATATTTATATCTATACTTCAACGATTTTTTTAAAAATGCATTTGGAAAAAAATACAGTTTTACACTCATTCAATAACAACAAACTATTATACGGTTTTGTAAAAACTTTTTTTTTCCAGCTAAAAGGCTTTCAACATTAATTCTTTAAGAAATATTTTAAACAAACCTCGATTTATTTATTTATTTTGTTAATCTACAGTGTCAACTGGTTCCATTATTGTGCTTGTTTTGATAGGTAAACCTTTCAATTATTGAAGAGGTTACAGCATGAAATAGCTGCACCAACGGCTACAATTTGTTTTTGAAATTTGCAGTTGAATGATTATGACTCCCACTTTTAAAGAATCAAGTTTGCATTTTTATCATTGTTACCCCCCACTAAATAATTTGTCCCTTAATATTTACGAAACTTCTATGAATCATATAAATAACCCTATAAAAAAATTATGTAAGTGTTCGGAGCAAGTCTTAAAATAATATCAGTAGCTTAATTGCAGTACATGTATGATAGTGATTTTTTGAATTTAATGAATAAATTTGTAGCATATATTCAAGTTAGTAGTTTTAAATCTTAAGAAATTACTGAGATCAAGATATTTATAAAAGATATTTTATTGTAAACTAAATAAATCAAATCAAATCAAACATCCTTAGTAGTCATATAAATAATTGTATTTCGCTAGTTTAAAACGTTGTTTTGATCTTATATACACACTTATATTTGTTTATACATATTCAGAGTTTTTTATATGTAAAAAAAGAGAGTAAATGATTTATAACTTAAATTCTTTATAATTATTAACATTTAACTTTATATTTAAAAAATTTTAACAGTAATTTATATGTACGTTTGGTAAATCTATTTTTAAACATAGTTTATATTTCTAAATTTATACTTACATTTTCTATTTTAAAAAATGTTAAGTTTTTTCTCTAAAAAATATATCACATGGTATAAATATGTTAGAACCACATCATCAAGTATTATTTTGTGTTAAATGATATTTGTAGTCAAATAACTTCACCAAGCTGACAAAAATAAATACATTAACACTAAAATTAGTTTCATGATTTTAAAAAATAAAATAGAGGAAAAAAGTTATTTTATCTAATTTTTACCACTACATATTGATCGGCTAAAGTGGCTATTTAGAAAAATTGTATTGGGTGAATCTAAACCATATATTTAATCCATCGATTACGATTATTTACAAAAAAATACATGAATGTTGTAAATCATATTTTAAAACCTATTATATTTTCAATTGATATAAATATACGTATATACGTAAATACACGAATGTATACGAATAATAACAACTTATCTTGGATTGAAGATACCTAAACAAAATGTTTAGTGTTATTTATACTTACGCTTTGATATAATTAAAAAAAGGAAGTGAAGGTAATAAATTATTTAATGAATTAAAGAGATTTTTTTAAATTGTATAAAAAATGAAAAGAAAATATATACTTTTTAAATTGTTTGTTTAGATTGAAACTGAAAAAGAAATAAAAAATCAATAATATATAATTTTGTAACTTGTATTTTTCTGTATGTTAAATTTATTCATTTATATGTAGTATAAAATTTAAATCCACACTTAAACTCTTACACTAATTTTATAATTTCGGTGAAAACTATATATCCATTTTTTATTTTATTCGTTCCATTTAAATTATTTTTCTAAATATCCCTACAGAGAATTAGGATGAGAAAAAGAGAGTAAATGTTAACAAAATATTTAATTAACAAGAATATTTATTAATACTTTAATTTCAACCAAGCAAACAACTATGCAACAATATTTAAATTTGGGACATCTTATTTATTTGTAAGAGTTCATCTTTTTATCTAGTTACAAAAGAGTTATCTATTTCTAACCAAATCGACGTTGAGCGTAACATTGCCCATATTACAGATCGACACGTGTCGAAATGACCGCACCTGCTGTTCTAATAGTAAATTTGGAGCAAGTGAATAAATTTACGAAGTAATTGAAAAGAAGAATGATGACGTGTGGCGCTAGCATTGGCCCCATTCGAATCGGCGTCAAGTTCTCCTCTCCCACCACCCCGCCTTTTTTGAGCCAGCTACAGAACCACAATGTTCCTTCTCTATCTGTGTCCCCTCACCGGCTGGTCACCGGGAACGAGCCTTCATTTTCCGACCGCCTCTGCCCCCTTCAGTCCTGATTCGTTCTCCTCTCGCACCGACACTCTTCTCCCTGCGGTTACTTTCTTTTCTTCTCAATTTCGTCATTCGCTTGTCAATAATCATAATCATTGCATTACATTTTGATTTCAATTTCAGCGGTTACAGGTAGCGTTCGGGGAAGATGTCAAGTCATGGCGGTTCTTCTCGAAGGAGCGGTTCGTTGTTGAACAGCCTCTCGCTGAACAAGAAGAAATCCCCTGAATATTCGCCGCTTGACCTTACCACTCGGAAATCTTTCCATTCACCGCGGACCGTGTACGTTCTCCTTCTCATTTTTTCATGCTCATGTTTCATGTTTCTTCTCATCATCTATGCCTTTTTGTTTCTGATTTATTTATCGTGCCTATAAAGTATAATGATTATTATTTGCAACGAGAGCTTTTCTTTAAATAAGTTTAAAAGTTTTTTTTGTGAAGATGTTGTTAGAGACTAGACTTTATTATTTAATTTATCATCCTTAAGAGATGTTTAAGTTAGTTAATTATAAAAATGTCAAGTTTGTAAGTTTTTTTAGTACTATTCATTACATGAGTAATATATATATATATTTTTTTAAATAAACTATAAATATAAGATTAAATTAATGTAAATAAGTAAAAAGAAACATCTCTAATTTATATGAGAACATAATCTCTCGTGTGATTAGGAGTATTTTAATTTTAGTATAAAAGTAATAAATAAAAAGACATTAAGGATTAAGTCTTATATTAAAAAAATCAGTTCTAATCATCTTATAAATAAACATGAAAAAAATAAAATTTAATATATTATTATTTATTTATTTGTTTTTAAATTAAATTTATATAAGGTTCGCTCCTGGAGGGAACATACCCCTCTTAGTGATCGGTCCGTTAGTTCGTGCAAATCAGAATTCGTTACCACGAACGAGCCGCGTGCAGGGAAAGTTGCACGTGTGTGGTTCTGGCCGATGTTTTAAATTTTATTGATTGTTACAAAAATTGTTTCATAACATAACTTTTTATCATAAATTTAAAACATAATTTATGCATTAAAACTATTTTTATTATAATAGGATGTATATATTTAAAACTATCTATTTATTTTAATTCAATTTACGTTATACAAAATGAAAATTTATTTTGGGTATTGCATGAGCTAAAATGCGATTCCAAATATGAATCAAAATAAAATATTATAATAAATAGCAATCATGTTCGGTTCCTGTGAATGGTCATTTTCACTTCATGGAAACAGATATTCTCACATTTAGCTAAGTGATTCATTGCTTGGAGTTGATTTTTTAATTAAGAATTCACAAGGCATCTGTTCAACTCTCTCAAGTTAGATTCATTTTAAATTTTAAACAAATTTGTGATGGCTTCGTGCTTGGACATGTAAGAAGAGATGAGTCAGTGAATGGTTATTATGGTTTTATCATTTAAATCATGTGATGATAATGCTGATGATCCCCTTTTTTGTACTTGACTTGGATCAGGGGAGAGCGAACTGTGAAATCATTGCGACTTTCAAAGGCATTGACAGTTCCTGAAACAACAACTGTCTATGAAGCTTGCCGTAGGATGGCTACTCGCAAAGTAGATGCTCTATTACTAACTGATTCTAATGCTTTGCTCTGTGGGATCCTCACAGACAAGGTTACAACAACAACTGATTCTATCATTGGATTTCTCTTTGCAACACTCATTAACAAGAAAGAAGAAAAAGATTTAAGTATTTAGGACTTTTGTTTTACAATCATCATCATTTTTGTGGTTAAAGGACATAGCAACAAGAGTTATTGCTCGTGAGGTTAATCTCGAAGAAACAACTTGTTCCAAGGTGATGACAAGGAATCCAGTATTTGTTCTTTCTGACACTCTTGCTGTGGAAGCCCTCCAAAAGATGGTGCAAGGTTGGAGAGAGGCACAAAAAACCTTCTGATGTTAATTGCTAGTTCTATATGGTGCGTGCCCTTTGAATAAATACAAGGATGATCTATGTTTTCAGGGAGGTTCAGACATTTACCTGTGGTGGAGAATGGAGAAGTCGTTGCCATCCTTGACATTGCAAAGTGTTTGAATGATGCCATTGCCCGTATGGAGAGGGCAGCTGAGAAAGGAAAGGCAATTGCGGCTGCCGTTGAAGGTATCGAAAAACACTGGGGAACACCTAAATCTGGTTTGTACAGTATTTTCTTTTTCCATGACTACCTTTTATTTTGAGTTAGATTCGACAGTTTTTATGCCTGCCTTTGTTTCATGCTAATTTGGTCTTTGTGCAGGCACCAATTCCACATTCTTTGAGACTCTTCGCGAGCAGATATTTAAGCCATCTTTGTCTACAATCATTCCTGATAATTCAAAGTAGGTAATACCTTTCTTTTGATTTAGCCGAACAAAAATTACCTCGGATTTAATTTGCTTACGTGTTGGAATTATTATACCAAGATAATTCAGCAGATACTGGCACTTTCCAGGGTTGTTACAGTTTCACCAACAGACTCAGTTTTGACGACAACAAAGAAGATGCTTGAACTTCGTGTAAATTCTGCAGTTGTGACGGTTGATGACAAACTTTGTGGTATCCTTACGTAAGTGTGTTGCTGTGGACATTGCAACCCCTCCTATTTTTTCTGAAAATTTACCTTTGCCTCCCACTTTTGAAAGTTAATTATTTTTCAACAAGTATCATCAGAATTGTTTTTTAATGTACTACATTACCTCCGTACAAATTTCAGTTCAAAGGATATCCTGATGCGGGTGATAGCGCAAAATCTTCCGCCAGCGTTAACTCTAGTTGAGAAGGTACCACTACAACTAGATCTAGTGATATTTTTCCAGCATGTTTTAGAAGGAAAAGTTGTTTTTCGGGGCTTTCGTCCAATTATCGTTTCTGTCCCTTTTATTTGACCTATATTCAACACAATCTACAGGTAATGACTCCAAATCCAGAATGTGCAACAATTGATTCACCAATAGTCGATGCACTTCACACTATGCATGATGGAAAATTTTTGCATCTTCCCGTGGTTGACAGAGGTAATATAAATTGTATGAGAAAGGGAGCAAGTTCCTGCATCAATATTTTTCTGACTTGGGTGGTTGAAAACAGATGGCATTGTTGTTGCTACGCTTGATGTAATTCATATAACTCACGCGGCTGTGGCGACAGCTAGTCAGGTATGATTTCTAGAACTGCGTGTAAACCCACTGCTGCTGATAGCATGAAGCCTCTCTGTTGAGTCCTTGTTGTAATGGGATTGGCTATTAGTCATAGCAATTTATTCTCGGCAAAATTAGTTACTATTCATGACCTTAAAAATCAAATGCAGGTTTATACATGAATTGATATCTAAATATGAATGCAATTTATTTATGAGTGGGTCTTCAATCAGCATTTTGGTTTTAAACTTCGGAGAAAATTGCCACCTTCTTTTTTCTTTACCATTTTGCTTGAGCTTCATGTCTTGGAAATACAAGAATATGAAATCTTGATAATTCATTAGCAACAAAAGCTTAACCGATATTTACTAGTATTTTTTATTTTTTAGATGCTCTTAAAGCATGCAACTGGGTATGAAGAAAAGAAAAGGAGGTGGGATTGGCATATCGTACTAATTAATTTAATGAAAAGATGTTCTACGGATAGAAAGCCAAAAACTTGTGCTTTTAATGAGGTTGATTAGCGTCCAACACATAGTTTACTGATGTTGAGATAAGCGTTTACTTTTTGTCTCTTGCATTTCATAAAATTGAATATTTTAGAATCAGCAAGAGTCAAGCATTATGGAGAACTAATTCCTTATATAAAATCCCTGTAAATATGTTTCCATGTTTATACACTTACGTAAGTAGATACAGGGAAAATAAATTATTCTGTTACTTTTATGTTGGTTTATCCCACTGATGCGTCATGGATTTCTTTTACCCTTATAAATTGGCAATTTACGATTAATGGTAGCTTGAGCCCCATAAATGGCCATGTGTATCAGGGTTCAATTTTTCCCACCCCCTGCTTGTAATGCTTTTGTTTATCTGTATATTTTAGTTTTTATTAGCGTAGTACTTAAATTCACGACCTACTCCATCCATATTTAACAACTATCTACTATTTGCAATGTGTAGCTCCCAAGACTAAAAGAAAATATTCAACTGTTTTTTCCACCTGGATGTTATTCTAAAATTGTTTCTTTTACATACCGGTTTGGAGCATTGCCTATGTTAATGTTGAATATTTGATACGGAAATTCAATTTTTTCAGCTTCTCGTGATCGTTTTCCGGGAAAATTTTGTAATGATGGTATCATTTTCTCCACTGATTAGGTCGGAAATACTACCAGTTTTAACAATGAAGCAGCCAACTCCATGATACAAAAGTTTTGGGATTCGGCCATGTCCTTAGCTCCAAATGGGGAGGATGATGATTCCCAAAGGTTATATATTTTTTCAATTTTTGCATTCATGTTGCTAGGAAATTTATTTTCAAAATTTTAATTTAATTACATGTTATTACTGACATGTAGCGAAACTTCCTTGAAAATGATTTCTGAGGGAGGAGAAACAGGGAGATCCGTTTCTTATCTTGGGTCAAGCATACAGAACACATTTTCCTTCAAAGTACAAGACAGGAAGGGCAGGTTGCATAGGTTCACAAGCGGTATGTCAACTATTACATGTTTTCAATCAAGTCTTTGCCTACTTGTGTGCTTTCCCTCTCCTCTATCTCTTTTAACATGCAAAATTGCCACTGATGGTTAACCTATATGCTCATATGGCGTTGTCCTTTCAGTAGTTTCAGTTGAATGTGACTGGTTTGCATATCTTCAATCAATCGATGCCTAAATCTGCACTTTTTATTGTTTTGAGTAATATTAGCTGAACACATTGTACAGCCCATATTATTTAGAGAGGGGATCATACCTTGTGAATATTGATGAATAGAAAAGAGAGAAAGAGGTGAAATGGATGGTGATGAGACGTGAGAAACTTTTGTAGTTTAACATTGATGGCTCAGCAGGACTGTGGTAGTGATATGCATAGACGTATACTAGGTTTGTTTTGATAAAATAAATAACAAAGCATTTTGATGGAAAACGTCTTCTTTCCTTCTATTGTAATTCTTTTTATTTAGAAAAGTAAAAGGAGAGAAGGAAAAAGAAGGTAATAATGTATTCATTAATCACAAAAAACTTGTTTATTGCCCGAAGGAGCTCTGTTTCAACTTTCACGTTAATTATGCATTTCGTAAAAAGATATCAGTCTACTGGTTTGTGTGCTTTCATACAAATTCAGATACTCGGAGCTTGGCAGAGGTTATAACTTCCATCATTCAGAGAGTCGGTGATGAAATTGACCCCACGAACCTCCCACAAATTTTGGTAAGTTTAAAAATGTTATATTTATATTCTTGAGTCTGTCTTTTCTCCTTTTCCTAATGTAAGCCGGTGAATTGTTCGTAGTACGAAGATGAAGAAAATGACAAAGTTGTACTGAATTCGGACAGTGATCTTACCACAGCTATAGACCACGCCAAGACGGCTGGTTTGAAGGTATGGTTGAATGGAATATGGAGAGGAGAGTGGCTAAAGATATGTTTTGAAGGAAATTTGAATTTAGAGCAACATAGGTTAACGAGTCATTATCCTTTTTTCATATGGGTTCAAAAATATCAAAATGGAATAACATCGAAAAGATTTACCGTTGTAAGTATCAAGAATCAATTGCCTTAAAAGGTGAAAGAACATAAAAACTGTGGATAGAATATAAAATGCATGTCTCTTACAGTATAGCTACCGCTATTTTTGAAATTTTATTTTGTTAAGATGAAGAAAGTTAAAACAATTGAACTTTAATTGTCATTATTGGTTAGAGAATATGCATTCACGTAGGCGGAAACGGTTTATTTAATACAGAAGCCCTTATTCAATGCCCGTCATAAGATAACTTGTCCAACCAGTCAGATCAATAAAAATGCCACTTTGCTCTAAATTTGTTTCATATTTGTAACCCATGATAGTATCGGTAGGAATCTGTCGCAAAAAAGTTTGACATTGAATTCATGAATTTTGTAGGGATTGAGATTGCATTTAGACTACACAGGAACACGTGGTTATGGAAGTGATTCAAGTTCAGTAAGTTTGAAATATGGTAATTCAGAATCATGGGCAACAGCATACACCACCGTTGCCGCTGGAGCTGCAATTGTTGCTGCCTTAGGCCTATTAGCGTTTGTGAGGAGAAGTAAACAGTAGAAGAAGCGGGCTTTTGTGGGGGGTAGAGGCCAACGCAGAGGGAGTTGGAACTTTGGAGGGGCATACTTTTAGCACTTGCCAATCTTTGTAAGTTCTGCCATTTTGTATAACCATTTGTATTTGTATTCAAATACTACACGAGATACAAAGGAAAAGCATTTTTATTCCACTGTTTATAAAATAGGGATGTTTCATCTCTTGCAACTTGTAAATTTGTAATTTACGATTTCCAAATCTCATTGCATAGGTGACTGAAGTGCTTAACATGCTGGTTTCGGGTTCATAATCGCATTGGTAATAATTAAATTTATATTTTTCAATGTTATATAATATTTTAAATAACTACATTAAATAACATAAGATAATTTTTATCTGCAAAATTTCAAATTCATACAAATAATAAAATTAGGTGTTTTGTAAAATAAATAATAGTAGTTGACAAAACAATTGCTGTATGTTAAAAGATGCATCGTATTCGCCTTTAAAATACTTTAAATTAAATTAAAAGTAAAAATTGAAAACAGCCCGTTCAAACTGGACTTCTGCAATAATTTCAGTTTTTAGTACATGTTCCATTGTTTGGCTATTGAACTTCTCATTACATCAGTTTCCCAACGAATAAATCGGTTTAGTTTGTTTTTCACAATATAAAAAAATATTTTGAAATTAAATTTTAATTTTGTAATTATGAATGTACATTTTATTTTTTTCATTTTCTTAGAAAGATATACAACGATTTATTGAATATTGACTTAGAGGAAGAAGAGAGTACTTAGATAACAACATAAATACTTTTTTGGTATTATAGAATAAATATTCGGAGGGATCCAATTTCCAAATGACCACTAAAGTGAGCCTTCATCCAATATTATATCACATAGCTTAAAAACAAATCAATTTACAATGCATTTTTCCACTAACTCATATTATATCGCTTGACATGATATTGTTCCATCTACAAAATGGAAAATTGCAAGAAAAACAAGTCACATGAGGTCCACAAAAGTTGAAAACTATTTTCCACTCCCATTTGTCACCTTTTAATGCCATATCTCATCATTAAAAAGATGACACCTTCCCCACTATGCCCACCTCGTGAAACCACTTGCTTGGGTGGTTCATTACTTTAAAATATTAATTTAAAATAATTTATTAATTATATACTTAATGTTATAAATTAAGGGGTATTGCAAAACAGAGAACGTGTTCTCATACGTTGCAGAAAACCATTTTAGAGCATGTGTTCTCACACGTTGCAGAAGACTGTTTCAGAGCTCATGTTCTCACACGTTGCAGAATACTGTTTCAGAGAACGTGTTCTCACACGTTGCAGAAGACTGTTTCAAAGAACATGTTCACACACGTTGCAGATGACTGTTTCAGAAAACATTACAGAAGAACGTTTCAGAGAACGTTACAAACCCACTACCAAGTCTTCCATAACTGTTACGGACTTTCTCTTATGAATAGAGACCACTTCACATTTTTCAGAACACATCTCTCATCTTCTCTTCTCTGATCTTCTTTTTGTGTTCCTGGGTTAATTTACTCTTTTGAGAGTTTCTTGCTAGTTTTTGAGATCCTCGTATATTCCAAGAAGTTCCTGTTGTATCCTGGGGGACTTACGCAATACACCGCGGATAAGTCCTTAAGGGCAGTGATTATACACGCCTCAGGAATAAAGTTTGTTCGTGTCTCTGTCAGCTTTTACAACAATCTTAAGGACTTATGACTGACAGTACGAATATCAACAACTTCCTTCAACAGCTTTAGAATATTGGATAGTAAAAGAAAGGGAATTATGAAATGCTCAAGGTTAGTCTTCTGATTATGATTTATGTGTGTTATTATGTAAGAATCAATTCATGTATGTTATTATATGATTATGATTCATGTATGTTATTACGTGAGAATAAAGAATCTAAACGTGAAGAGTAGTTTTATAAAAATAGGAACGTATAAAAACTACAAATTAAAATTCATGTGGTATCAGAGTCATACTTATTAGATTTATGATTTTTCTATTATGATAATTTTTAAATTATGCTTTTCCCAAAATTGAATAAAGGAATAAATGATAATCTATATTTTAAAGCTGCAATCAATTTCAAATTGAAATTAATTTCATAGCCCCTGTGTGTGAATGACATTGTAATTCTTATTGAAATGTGAATGACCCTGTAATTGAGTTTAATTGAAAAAGCAAATTACGTGATTGGGTTAACGGTGAATTATATATGAAATTAATTACTGCATGTTATAATTATGATGAAAGAAAGGTAAAATTTTATATCAAATGCTATCAGCATACATCATGCAGCTTGTCCATACGTGTCAAACACATGTTCCTTTTTCAGATTTATTATACCAATACAACAGAAAAATGAAAAATGCATTATGCATAATTATTTTATGTTATGGGAGAAATTATGCAAAATTATTATATGTTATGAAAAATTTTGTTTGTGAATAATTAGCAATTACATGTATACAATGTATGACTTAGATCTACATATTATTTTGTCCATACGTGAAGAATATTATTTTGTCCACATATTATTTTGTACATACTTAGAATATTATTTTGGCCCCATATTATTTTGTACATACGTATAAGAAAGAGTTGAGACTTATGAAACCAGTGGATCTAACCCCACTCTACGTTCAAGAAAAAAAATTGCTTTTTGTGGAAAGCTAGGTCATCATGCACCTCAGTGCAGACGTAGAATGAGAAACGACAATCCTCCTAAGGCAAATTTAGCCGAGGGAGAAGATACAATTATTGCGGTCATTTATCAAATAAACCTTGTGACAAATGTGGGTGGTAGACTCTGGTGCTACCAGGCACATCTGTGCAAACAGAAGTGTTTTTACCTCCTACACTAGTGTGGGGATGGAGAAGAACATATTTATCTTGGTGATTCCAGGACAACTCCTGTCTTAGGAAAAGGAAAAATTCTTCTAAAACTCACATCTGGAAAGACTCTGGCTTTGAATGATGTGCTACATGTGCCATTAATCAGAGCTAATCTAATATTTGTAGCACTGTTGAGAAAAGTTAGGGTTAAAGTGTCATTCGAATCTGATAAGATTGTTATGACAAAAAATAATGTGTTTGTAGGGAATGAATATTGTGATCAAGTTTTTCTTTTTTTGTAGTTAACATCTCTAAGGTTGTTAATAAATTTTATTCTTTTGCTTATATTATTGATTCATATGATCTGTGACATTTATAGATGATTACTTTAGATAAACCAAAGTATACTTAATCAAACAGCTTTAGTGCAACTAATCACCCTTCATAGAAAATATACTTACAATGAGTTTTTTTTTTTTAAGAAAACTGGTAAAACACTCTATGAGTTATGGAGAGGTTATAAACCTAATCTTAAATATCTAAGAGTGTGGGGGTGTTTATCTAAGGTAACGTTACCTAATCATAAGAAAAGAAAAATACGTTTTAAAATTTTTGATTGTATGTTCTTAGACTATGCAAAACATAGTGTTGCCTATAGGTTTTTTTGTTATAATTGAGCATAATACTATAGTGGAGACAAAAAATGTTGAGTTCTTTGAACATGTTTTTCCTCTAAAGGTTAGTGAGATACGTAAACAATCTATAGAAATTAATAGTGATAAAATATATGAGAATTTGAGGAGAAGTAAAAGACAGAGGAAGGAAACCTTCTTTGGAGATGATCTCTACACTTATCTAGTTGAAAATGATCCAATAAGTTTTTAAGAGGCTACTAGGGCTCCTGATGCAATACATTGGGATAAGACCATTAAGACTGAAATTGATTCAATTAAGAAAAATAATACTTGGACTTTGGTAGATTTGCCTAAAGGAACAAAACCCATTGGTTTTAAGTGGATCTTTAAGAAAAAGTATCATCATGATGGATCCATAGATAAATATAAGGCAAGATTAGTAGCAAAGGATTTTACTCAAAAATTCAACATTGATTATTTTGACACCTTTGCCCCTGTGACTAGGATTTCCTCTATTCGAGTTTTGTTACCTCTAGCAGCTATCCATAAGCTAGTTATACACCAAATGGATGTTAAGACAACTTTTTTGAATGGTGAATTAGAGGAAAAACTTTATATGACTCAACCTGAAGGATGTGTTGTTCCAGGTCAAGAGAACAAAGTGTGCAGACTTTTAAAATCCTTATATGGATTAAAACAAGCACCAAAATAATGACATGAAAAACTTGATAGTGTTCTATTTTGTAATGGTTTTTCAACTAATGATGCTGATAAATGTGTGTACTCTAAATTTGAGAATGGTGAATGTGTCATTATATGTTTATATGTAGATGATATGCTAATATTTGGTACATGCATTGACATTGTCTCCAGAACTAAGTTGTTTCTGGGATCTAAATTTGAAATGAAAGATATGGGTGAAGCCAATGTGATTTTGAGTGTTAAAATCATAAGGAAGGGCGATAGTGTTTTTTTTATCCCAAGAACAATATATTGAGAAACTTCTTAGGAAGTTTGGGTGTTATAACACCAAACCAGTGAATATCCCTTATGATGCTAACTCTAAGTTAAAGAAAAATAGAGGAGACTCAATCTTTCAACCTCAGTATGCCTAGGTAATTGGGAGCTTACTGCATTTAATGAGTTTTTCTAGACTTGACATTGCTTATGCAGTAGGTAGACTGAGTATATACACTCAATGTCCAAATCAAGAACATTGGAATGCACTTACAAGACTTATGAGATACTTAACAGGTTCAATGGATTATGTCATTGAATATAGTGGATTTCCCGCTGTACTAGAAGGGTACAATGATGCTAACTAGATCTCTGATTCAGATGGGACAAAATCCACTAGTGACTACGTATTCACACTCGGGGTGGTGCGATTACATGGAAATCAGTCAGACAAACAATTATTGCAAGATCAACAATGAAATCTGAATTTGTTGCTCTCGAAATGGCTAGTAGTGAAACTAAGTGGTTGAAAAACTTCTTAGTAAACATTCCATTAGGAATGAAACCGATCTCGTCTGTATCAATACACTGTGATTGTCAATCGGCAATAGCTATAACAAAAAATAAGAACTACAATGGAAAAAACAGACATATTCAGTTGAGACATAATTTAGTGAAACAACTGCTAAAGAATGGAACAATTTCTATTGACTATGTGAAGTCAGAACAGAATCTAGTAGATCCTCTGACAAAACTCTTAGCGAGAAATATGATTTTAAAAACATCAAGGGGAATGAGACTTAAGCAACTTGCAAACAAACAGGTGATGGTAACCCAACCTTTGTGATTGGAGATCCCATGAATAAGGTTCATATGGGTAAAAACAAGTCACTTGTTAGTTCTGCTAGCACTAAAATTGATTAAAATCAATTATGTCTATTTCTATGGTGTATGTGTGAAAGTGTTAGATACTGCATTATTGAGAGGTTAAACTTTGTAATTAAAATTCTATGTGGAGTACGGATTTTAGTCTAAACAAAGTCTTTAAACGATTTCATATCCCTTAAGGGTGGTGTATGATTTGTAGCATACGCTTGATAAAGTCACCTATATGAGTGTCGAGTGGGGCCACTTGTATGAGATCTTTGCAAGATTTCTAGAGCACTCATGAATACCGGACACACGCATAACCTAGTAAGCGCAACACAACGATAACAGCAAGAATTGTGGGGGTGTATTGTGATTATTAAAATCGCTAACATACATTGAGTGTTTTGGTTCATATAGCTTGCTACACCAATTACACTGTGTGTTAAGTTTTTTAGTCTAAGACTAGTTCATATAGCTTGTTATACCAGCTCTGATGCATTACATCTTATATGAGACCCAGAATTTTCTTTTTTTATTTCTTTTATCCCCTTTTGTTTTGTAATATGTGGGGAATTGTTGTAAATTAAGGGGTATTGCAAAATAGAGAACGTGTTCTCATACGTTGCAGAAAACCGTTTCAGAGCACGTGTTCTCACACGTTGCAGAAGACTGTTTCAGAGCACATGTTCTCATGTGTTGCAGAAGACTGTTTTAGAGAACATGTTGTCACACGTTACAGAAGACTGTTTCAGAGAACATGTCACGTTAGAGAAGAACGTTTCAGAGAACGTTACAGAAGAAGAAGAACATTTCAGAAAACGTGGCAGAGAACGTTACAAACCCACTAGCAAGTCTTCCATAACTGTTACAGACTTTCTTTTATAAATAGATATCACTTCACACTCTTTAGAACACATCTCTTGTCTTCTCTACAGTGATCTTCTTTTTGTGATCAATTTCCTTTTTTGAGAGTTTCTTGATAGTTTCTGAAATTTCTATTATATTCTAAGGAACTTGTGTAGTATATCGCGGATAAGTTCTTAAACACAATTATTATTATAGACGCCTCATAAATAAATAAAGTTTATTGGTTTCTTTGTAAACTTTTACACCACTTAATACATGATTATCATAATTTATCTCACCTTTCTCCTGTCGGACATAATGGTAGTGCAATAATCGGTGCAAGTTCCCCGAATGGCTGTCACTGGTATCCCGATAACAGTGTGACACGTGTCGGTTGAGATCCATGGAGCATTCTCCAATCTGACGGAGAGGTTAATGACGACGTGTCCCTTGGCACCGTCTTTACCTCGTAGGCGGTAGCTGAGATAGCGCACGGAACCGTGGGGGAGGAGCCCAATGTCGTGGGCTGGGATTAGGCATGACCCGAGATGGGCCAGGCCCAGAATTCGTCGCTTGGTGAAGAGCTGAAGGTGGAGGGAGGCACGCGTGTCGGAGAAGAAGGAAGGATCGAGTGCGATGCGCAGGGTGAAGTTATGGTGGAGTAGCGGTGACGTGGAGAGGAGGTGGGTGGAGGAGAGAGTGATGAAGGGTTTGATGGTGGGGTTCAGAAAAGAGGTGTAGTGGTTGATGCCTTGTAGTGATGTGACGGTGATGTGTAGCAATGGTGTAGAGGGAGGTGGAGTCGCCGTGTGAGGGTTGTGTTGTGTTATGGGTTTCATTGTATGTGACATTGAAAAGGAAGACTATGTGTGCACAAGTGTAGCAACTTGAAATTGCAAAACCCAAATATCTGTAAAAAGCACATGCCCGAGGAGAAAGAACATATAAAATGAATCAAAAAAGAGAAGAGGATAATCAAGAGAAAAAGAGAGATTAAGAAATAAAATGAAAAAATAATAGCAATAAAAAATCCTCCATCATGGTTTGGGTCTTATATGTTTGAATTTTTGGTCACCCATATCTGAATTTTTTATTTCTAATTTGAAAAATATGGTTTAGATTCATTCGATGGGTAGCTATGGGCCCAAGGCCCAATTAGATTCATTCCATGAATTTTAAATGTCTTATTTTTAACGTAGATGTCCTTATTTATCTTGTTGTTACTAATTTAGATTTTTTTTAGACTTGATGATTAAATTTGCAAATAATAAAAACGAGTAATTTTTATTTGTTTGTAAGAATTTAAAACAAGTATCAAAGAGTTTACAATATCTAACACAGTTTCGAACAAACTGAACTAAGTTATTCCTGAAGAAAGTTAATTCGATATCAATAATAATAATAATAAGTCGATAAATACATTTAGTAAATTTTTTTACAATAATAATTTTTTTATAAATATTTATATAAAACATATTAAACATTTTTTTAAAATATAAGACTTTTTTATTCTTACTTTTTTTCCCTCTTACTATTTTTTTTTATTATTATTCATCATCTCTTCTATCTTTCCTTTTAAGAAAAATCTTACAGAAAGCTGTCTAAAACAAATATTTTAAAAATTTTAAAAATAAAATAGCATCATTAATATAAATTATTTTATCTAATTTTAAATAATTTATAAATGTGAAGTTCATAATAATTTATATGTGTGAAATTTATATTAAAATACTATTTTAATATTTAATTTTTTTTCTTCTAAAATCTTTTTAAAAATATGTTAATATGAAATTTTTGATAAATAAATCAAATGATGATTTGTTTTATAAAATAATAATTATTTTATAAATTAAAAATATTAATTTTTTATTAATATATATTATAAATTAATTTAAAAAAATTGAAATAATTTTTTAAAATTTAGATGAAGATAAAATAATAAATTATTAAAAAATTAATTATAATAATAAAGATTAAATTTTTAATTTATATTTTAAGATTGAATATCTATTTTTTTTGTAATTTATATATAAAATAGTTATATTTTGAATAAAAAATAAATTTATTAATGATTTAAATTTTGAAACTATATATTTAATTTTTAATTTATATTTCAATAGTTTTTTAATTAAATATTTAAATAAAATATATTAATATTTTTTTAATTATTTATTTTAATATAAATATATTAACATTAAAAAATAATTAAATTAAAATTAATCTATTAATACATTAATTTAATATAAAAAATTTAGAATAAAAATTATAATTTATTTCAAAATACAAGTTACGTTATAATATATGCTTATTCTCTTTATATAGTCAAACACGCGTGAATAATATTCCACCCATAAATATGTCCTTTTATTCAATTTCGTCTAAGTCATTGTACATTTTCTATTTTGGTATGAATTTTTAGCTCAAACGTTTCTATAAAAAAAAAATAGTAATTAGCATATCAATGTTATTTATAAATTAAAAAAAATCATGACTGATTAGGTTTTTGACTTGAAATATACATTTTATTTCCAACCAATATATAAATAAAGTAAAAATAATTTTATAATAGAGTGAAAAAAAATTTTATCAACACCAAAAAATGTATGTTAGTTGTTGTTAATTAAAGACACGTTATAGTTAGTTGCAAATTACATTAATTTATGTGATAATGAGGTAGTGGGTGAATTTTAGTTACATATGCACCATTCTTACCTCAACCACTCATTTTAGTTACCTCAGTTAGTGTGGAAATGAAGTCAAGGTCTTCTTTAAGCATGATAAATGTGTTGACAAGATTTAATTTGATAAATAAAAAATAAATAAAATAAAAATGTATACATACATTGTTTGTGAGTAAATAAGTCATGGTCTATGCCTGCACTGTGAAGGCACTTCAAATTTCCAGAGAAAAGTCGTTCTCGGACACCTTTGATTATTTAAAATTAAAATAAATATTTTTTTTCAACTCAATTAGTCAAGATCTTCCAAAGAATGATTGACATAAGATTCTTTATAAAAAAGAAAAATATTTTTTAAATTTTATATAAAAAGCATATTACAATATATAAATTATATATATGAATTAGTTAATACAAATATTAATTAATCCATTTAATACCTAAATTTATTTATTTTCATAAATAAATTATATTTTATCAAAACATATATGGAGAAGTTTCTTCTAAAACATACAAAAAATAGTAAATTAGATATTTGAAGAAATTGAATGGGAACTATTTTAATAATATTATGTAGATATGGAATAATGCATAAATACCTGTCTATGAATAATAAAATCATGGTCTACGCAACACATGCATAGTTAGGAATATTCTTTAAAAAAACTAATATACCTTTAATGTCTTTTATTTTTGTGTCTGAATCCTTTTAATATCTTAACTTTAAATTAATTTTTTTAACAAAAAAAAGATAAGAAAATAAAAAATGTGGTTATTTATTTCAGAAAAATATATATGAAAAATAAAAAAAATTATTAATTAAAAATTAGTATTTATTCACTTATAAAATTACTTATATAATTATTAATTAATTTATGAATGAAATTATTTTTAATATATTTAAATTAATATATATTTTTTAATATATACTTGATATATAATAATAAATATTTTGTATTAAAAACTATATATTTTAAATATTATAATTTAAAATAATAAATAATATTATATTTATATATATAATTAGTTATTTGATTTTTATTATTATTTGTATATTTATGATATTTTATTAAAATAATTATTAGAAATTTTTATATATAATAAAAATTATTTTAATAATCAATATGAAATTGTCTTATTTTCTACAGGGAAGAGGAGAAATTTCATTTCTCTTTCTTGATTAGTCTTAAATTAAAAGATAAATAGGTATCTTAACACTTAAATTTAAAGTTTATATATTATCCTCCATATTTTTTAGTTATTGATAGTTATTATTCTTGTTATGTTTTGAAAAATAAAATTGACCGTGATTGAGATAAGTTTGTGCTTTTTGTTTTGAAGATATCCGGTTCTTATTAAAAAAAATGTATTGGAGGTGGTCCATGACTCGAAATATATTATCGTAAGAAAAACTATAATAAAATACAGTCTATCGATCTTTTGTTTGTTAAGACGAGGAAATTTATATGTTTTAGATTACTCATAACTTAATACATCCTATTAGAATATTAGCAAATATATAATAATATATAAACAATTTAATATCACAAAAAAATTCTTCAACACTCATTTTTATTAATATAATAATAATAATAATAAGAATTTAAATTTATTATTTTTCTACTCTTTCTCACACTTTCAAAAGTTATCTGTGGCAATTTATAATTTTCTTCATCAAATTATCCTATTTTTTAATAATGAAATAAAGACTTAAAAATCTAAAAAGAAATAAGAAAAAATATATTGATATAAACAGTTGTGGCGGAAATAATAATATTTGGAAAAAATTTGATTGGATGGATCCCTGTATAAAGGGTTGGTGGCATTACCCATTTCTACACAGAGACACAAACTCAAACTCTTGTAATCTTCGCCAGTTGTTGTTACAAAAATGAGTGCGAGAAAGGGATTGGTGTTGGTGATGGCTCTATGCTTCACCTCTGCTGCATATGCGGCAAGGTTTGACATCACAAACCGCTGCCCCTACACTGTGTGGGCCGCGTCTGTGCCGGTTGGCGGTGGCAGGCAGTTAAACTCTGGCCAATCTTGGTCCGTTGACGTGCCCGCAGGAACCAAGGCGGCCCGCATTTGGGCCCGAACCGGATGCAACTTCGACGGGTCGGGGCGCGGTAGATGCCAGACTGGTGACTGCGGTGGTGTACTGGAGTGCAGAGCATACGGTGTACCTCCGAACACCCTAGCGGAATACGCGCTGAACCAGTTCAGCAATTTGGACTTTATCGACATTTCCCTGGTGGACGGTTTCAACGTTCCGATGGAGTTTAGTCCAACGTCGGGTGGATGCACACGTGTCATACGATGCACTGCGGACATTAAGGGACAGTGTCCCGCTGAGCTCAAGACCGAAGGTGGTTGCAACAACCCTTGCACTGTCTACAAAACGAACCAGTACTGTTGCACTTCCGGAAGCTGTGGCCCCACTCCTCTCTCCCAATTCTTCAAGCAGCGATGCCCCGATGCTTACAGTTATCCCCAGGATGACAAGACAAGCTTATTCACTTGTCCCGGTGGAACCAACTACAAAGTTATCTTCTGTCCTTGAACCGTTCTTCAACTATGTTCGTCTACCAACTCCAAAATCAATTAATAAAATAATTAAATAGGCGTGTGCATTTTGCGTGCTCCTCGTCTATTAGCTTTCATGGCTTCAACAGTTATATTAGGAGTGTTTCCCTCCTCAACAAATTGAAGCAACAAAGATTCACATCAACTACACTCTCAAACAAAAATAACTTAATTTATTTATCAAATATTTAAAATGGTAATATCAACTCATTATATTTTTACATTTTAACCATAATATCCAACTCAATTTATGATTAGGTGGAAAATTTAAAGTCAAGGTGTTTGGACAAAAGTTTTACATTGAATGGTTTTTCTTTTCTCTTGCAAGATTGAATGACACTGTTAAAAAATATATAAATATTTAATAAATTTAATTAGAAAAATGTGCATAATTATTTAATTAAAAAACCATCTGCATACTAGGAAAGTCTTTATCTGGAAGTTTAATAAATTTGTACTCATCTTCGATATTTTATATATACTACCTTCAAATTCTTCTTTTCACCAAATAAAATAAAATAAGATCATATTTTTTATAATGTTTGAAAGATTAATTTAACCAGTAATTATCAATTTGCCGTGTGAAAAATTATATATATATATATATATATAGGAATTTCTTAGTTAAAATAAAATGTGAATTGCATTAGTTCCTTTATATTCTTTGATTTTTGATTTGAGACGAAAGACTATTTATATATTCTTTGATTTTTGATTTGAGACGAAAGACTATTTATACGGACATCAAAGAAGTTGAATTTGAATCAATAAATTTGTGCAGAATGACAATAAAAAAAAAAAGACCGGATTTCTTTTAAGTTTCTTCCTTTTTTATATGGGACTTCCTCTCTCACACGAGAAAGGACTTTCTCTCTTACATAGAAAAAAAAAAAAATCACGTCAAAAAATTGAGAAGATGAAATTTTCCATTTTCTCATTTCGTCATAATTATTAGATATTATATTTAAATTAATTTATATAATTAAATTTTTTAATTTATTTGATATTATAATTTTTTTAAAAATTAATAATAAATTAGAAGGATAATTAAATATTTAAAAATTATATTTATATAAGAAGAAATAATATTTTGATTTAAATTATATATATATATATATATATATTTTTTTAAATATAATTTATATTAATTTTTATAATATAAAATTTATATTTCAAAATATAATTTATTTTTATTTATATATATATATATATTATAGAAATTAAAATAAATTATATTTAAATATATATATATATATATATATTAAATATAAATTATTTTTAAGTTGATAATTATTATTCTAATTTATGCAATATATTTATATAATTAATTTAAAGTTTTTAATTTAAATAATATATCTATATATAATTATAATATATATAATTTATTTAATATTAATTTTATAGTTATAATTTTTTAAAAATTATAATTATAAATATGATTTTTTTAATTATATAATTATAATTTTTATTAATAAAAAAATAACTATTTTTTATGTTAAATAAATTATATATATAACTTAAATTAAAATTATATATATTAATTTCAAATTAATTATTATAATATATATATATATATATATATATATATATATTTATTGTATATATTAAAATAATAATTATCAACTTAAAAATAAATTATAATTAATATATATATATATATCATTTAAAATATTATAAAAACATAAGAAAAAAATATATTTTAAAAATATAATTTTACATCAAAATATTATTTATACTCTTAATTTATTATTAATTTCTTAAAAATATATTACAATATCAAATAAATAAATAAATTAAAAAAATTAACCATAAAAATAATATAAATATAATATTTAATAATATCTTTTAAAAATATTATTTTACTACGTTCAACCATAAATTAAAATATATTATTAATTTTAAATAAAATATTATAATATTATATATATATATATATATATATATATATATATATATACTAGTTTTTTTATCTTATCAAAATAAAAAAATCTATTTAGGATTCAATTGCGAACAAATCAAATTCTAAATTAATTACTTTTTTAATTACACCGTTATGATCGATTAAATTTTCAAATAATCGATTATAATTTTAAATAATTGGTTATAATCGATTACATTTTCAAATAATCGAGATTTTAGATAGCGGTTTTAGAACTAACCGCTATTAAAAATATATTTTAAATAACTGTTAACGTGGAACAACTATTATATGTTCAAATTTAAAAGCGATTAAAGTGGAATCGCTATCATATATGTGTCACTTTTAAGAACAGATAATATTTTAACCGTTCTTAAAAATTAACATATAATAGCGGTTTCACGTTAATCGCTATCTAAAATATATTTTTAATAGCGGTTAGTTCTAGAACCGATATCTTAAACATACTTTCAAAATATTACAAAACACAAAAAAAAAATTACATTTCAAAAATATAACTTTACATCAAAATATTATTTTATCTTTTATATATATATATATATATATATATATATATATTTTTAAAATTTTTATTATCCTCCTAGTTTATTATTCATTTCTAAAAAAATATTATAATATCAAATAAATAAAAAAATTAAAAAAATTAACCATACAAATAAAATATAAATATAATATTTAATAATATATTTTAAAAGTATTATTTTACTACTTTCAACAATAAATCTAAATATATTATTAATTTAAAAAGTATATATTTATATATATATATATATAATTAATTTAAAGTTTTTAATTTAAGTAATATATCTATATATAATTATAATTTATATAATATATATAATTTATTTAACATTAATTTGATAGTTATAATTTTTTTTTAAAGTTATAATTATAAATATGATTTTTTTAATCTTATAAATTATATTTTAAAATATATATATATATATATATATCATTTAAAATATTATAAAAATATAATTTTACATCAAAATATTATTTCATTTTATATACATATAATTTTTAAGAATTTTATTATCTTCCTAATTTATTATTAATTTCTTAAAAATATATTACAATATCAAATAAATAAATAAATTAAAAAAAATTAACCATACAAATAATATAAATATAATATTTAATAATATATTTTAAAAATATTATTTTATTACGTTCAACCATAAATCTAAATATATTATTAATTATAAAGATACATAAATATTTTTAAAATTTAAAATTTTAAATAAAATATTATAATATTATATATATATATATATACTAGTTTTTTTTTATCAAAATAAAAAAAAATCTATTGAGGATTCGATTACGAACAAATCGAATTATAAATTAATTACTTTTTTAAATACATCGTTATAATTGATTAAATTTTTAAATAATCGATTATATTTTCAAATAATCGATTATATTTTCAAATAATTGGTTATAATTGATTATATTTTCAAATAATCGAGATTTTAGATAACGGTTCTAGAGCTAATCGCTATTAAAAATATATTTTAGATAACGGTTAACGTGAACCGCTATTATATGTTCACATTTAAGAGCAGTTAAAGTGAAACCGCTTATCATATATGTGTCACTTTTAAGAGTGGTTAATATTTTAACCGCTCTTAAAATTTAACATATAATAGCGGTTACACGTTAACCGCTATCTAAAATATATTTTTAATAACTGATTAGTTCTAAACCGTTATCTTAAACATACTTTCAGAATATTACAAAACACAAAAAAAAATTACATTTCAAAAATATAACTTTACATCAAAATATTATTTTATCTTTTATATATATATATAATTTTTAAAATTTTTATTATCCTCCTAGTTTATTATTCATTTCTAAAAAAATATTATAATATCAAATAAATAAAAAAATTAAAAAAATTAACCATACAAATAAAATATAAATATAATATTTAATAATATATTTTAAAAGTATTATTTTACTACTTTCAACAATAAATCTAAATATATTATTAATTTAAAAAGTATATATTTATATATATATAATTAATTTAAAGTTTTTAATTTAAGTAATATATCTATATATAATTATAATTTATATAATATATATAATTTATTTAACATTAATTTGATAGTTATAATTTTTTTTAAAGTTATAATTATAAATATGATTTTTTTAATCTTATAAATTATATTTTAAAAAAAAATATATATATATATATATATATATATATATCATTTAAAATATTATAAAAATATAATTTTACATCAAAATATTATTTCATTTTATATACATATAATTTTTAAGAATTTTATTATCTTCCTAATTTATTATTAATTTCTTAAAAATATATTACAATATCAAATAAATAAATAAATTAAAAAAAATTAACCATACAAATAATATAAATATAATATTTAATAATATATTTTAAAAATATTATTTTATTACGTTCAACCATAAATCTAAATATATTATTAATTATAAAAATACATAAATATTTTTAAAATTTAAAATTTTAAATAAAATATTATAATATTATATATATATATATATATATATATATATACTAGTTTTTTTTATCAAAATAAAAAAAATCTATTGAGGATTTGATTGCGAACAAATCGAATTATAAATTAATTACTTTTTTAAATACACCTTTATGATTGATTAAATTTTTAAATAATCGATTATATTTTCAAATAATCGATTATATTTTCAAATAATTGGTTATAATTGATTATATTTTCAAATAATCGAGATTTTAGATAGCGGTTCTAGAGCTAATCGCTATTAAAAATATATTTTAGATAGCTGGTTAACGTGGAACCGCTATTATATGTTCACTACAAGAAATATTAAAATTACCGACGGTCAAAATCCGTCTGGTAATAACAAAAATCCGTCGGTAAATGAATATTACTGATCGAAATTCGAACGACCAAAAATCCGTTCGGTAAATATGTTACGAAATTACCGACTGGATCCGGATCCGTCTGTAATAATTTTATTAATTATTAAATATTTTACTTATTTATAACATTATTTTTTTTATA